CAGGAGACTTGTCGTTTGAAGTCTTCTGCTGAGCAATTGGCTTATCACTTTTCTCTTCTAGCATCTTATGCATATCAGAGTCTTCATGTGTTTGACAATAAACTGCTAAAGACGAAAGATCGAAAATCAGAGTAGATATTCCAGGGAATGGGCAAGTGCATTTGATGGGAGGGTATCCGATGCTTTGGAGAAAAGACGAAGCAATAGAACTCTCTTCTCTAGTCTTTTCCTGCGAAGCACTTGGCTTAGATGTTGACAAAGAGGCTGCTCGCTCGTAGTTCTTCAAATAAAATGGTTTCCTCTCTTCGTCTACTGGGAAAAGCAAAGAGGAAACTGATGTATTCCCATTTAAGACTGTGCCAGAATGAGATTTCTCACTAATGCCTGCACAAAAATGATCAAACATCGAATGTGAAGCTGCCCCGTGGAGGGCACGTTCTCGAGCACCAGTCTTCACATCCCAAATGTACAAGACATCAATTGGATCTGATTTTCTTGAAAGGGAGCGGAAAAGACATGCAATGTAGCCTCTTGTACCATCCCAAACGACTTTTGTAGGATAATTTGGGTGCCCAGGAAACATCCTTTCGACCCGCAAAGTCTCAAGAGAAGTAAGAGCAACACATGAATCATCCCCAACAGATAGAAAACAATTGCTCCATGGGCGTTCTGTTCGAGCTGGTGCTAGAATGATCTGGCGCACCGGAGCAACATGATGGTGCATGATCATGACTACATTTCCACTTTCGAGATCCCAAATGCGGATGGTACAGTCCATACTTCCGGAGATCAAAACATGAGAAGAACTACATCCATTTGCATCCCCAAACATTCGATGTGCTGCTAAGCATAGAACAGATCCTGTATGTCCCAAAAGACGCTGTCTAGAGACGAGTGAATCAGTGTCTGATCTAGGGCTTGATCCAGGAGAATCAAGTCCATGAAGAAAATCAAACTTTGCAATTTCTATCTCACCACTAAAGAAACCATAGACAACAGCATATGGGACATACATGTTCTCAGAAATAACCATGGACGATGACACGCACTGTCTACTGTCACTAACAAAGCTTTTTAGACCATTTTCGGTACTGCATTGACTTCCTAAAGTTTCTGCACTAATGGAACTCGTGGGATCTAAACAAGAGCTTGAAATCCAATCAGCAAAATAGGAGCCTTCTCCAAGCAATTTGCGCTGAAGTTCTTTTTCACTACCTATTCCTCCTAGGCATAGTGACCAGACAGTTATATGGGGCCTCCATTGAGAAGGTTGTTCAACATCACAACAGGTAGACTCAACGCGAAGAAGATACTGCCTCAACTGTACAAAACAAAACGTTGATTTCACGGACTGCTTATCAGGGGCAGTAACAATCTCACCGAGGTTTTTATATGTAAAATCTCCATCTATATATGACATAACAAACAGCACAGCAGAACCACTATCATCCCACAGCACAAAAGTTTCAGAAATTCGATCATCTCTATCACCTTCGATAGTTGATGTACTAGAGTAAAGTATCATTGCTTCTTTGAAATGAAAATTTGAAGACTGATTTTCAGAACAAAGCGAATTGTCAACAAAAGATATCTCTCCTATTGCCTCCTCGCGATTCAACAACCAAAAGACACACTTATTCTTTAAGAAAAAAGCAACAAGATTCCCTCGAGTTATCACCGATACAGCTATTTCCCCCTCATTTAACCAGTTTCTACACACAACAGAGCCTTTGCTCGATTCAGATACATCTTCACCCTTCTCAAGATTCTCTGACACAGGAACCAACTGCAGCCTACCAAACGAATCCGCCATGAGCAACGATTCCTGCTCCTCCAATTGCACCACACCCATAAAATTCAAATAACCAATAGATAAATTCCCATGGAAAACTGTATGAACAATCGTAAGAGTATAAGTATCAACAACCACCACAGTACACCTCGACGGTTTCCTGTTCTGAAAATCAGTATCTGCTAAAGTCTCAGCCCCATCAACAGTATCAACAGATTGAGTATCAATATAAGAACACCCAACACATACATATCTAGGCTCTGATGGCAAAGTACATAAAATCGACGGACTTCCAACCCAAGGAGGTAACTTTCTACGCCGCCTACAATGCCCACTACTTCTACTCCATACACACAATACACCATCAGTACAAGCACTGATCAATGCACAACAGTTAACAAATGGATCCGCGTTACCATTATCCGAACAATCTGATGTAACTCCGTTCCCGGAAACCGTTGTAGGATCACAAACAGAAAGATCCACTATTGGTGCAGTATGGCCACACAACATAGCTATCGGCTTAATCTCGGAAGACGAGAGACGAGTTACCGAATTGGACTCGGAAGAAGACGAGATGCTCCACCAGATGATTGACCCATCGGATCCACCGGTATAGAGAGTCGGTGGATTGGTCAGAGAGGCTGTGGCTGTGACTCGATGAGATGGAGGAGCTCGAGACCATAGGCAGGCCACGGATCGGCACTTCATCGGCACGAATCAAGCACCAACCGAGTCAGTGAACGAGTCGGGGTGAGAGAACAAGGAAGAACCAAAATGGTAAACGACGTCGTATGAGTTAGTATTCACGGAAGAACCAAATAATTGGTAAACGGCGTCGTATGAGTTAGTATTCACGGAAGAACCAAATAATTGGTAAACGACGCCGTATTAGTAAGTATTCACAGGCATATAGATATCGGTGAAAAATACAGTAATTAGTAATAACCTACGTGGAAGTATTTATATACTGTATTATCGTGGAGTATTTACATGGTGGAGAGATATGATGACGGTACTAATGAAAATAAGTAGTAATAATTATGGAAGATTTATATGATTTTATTAATGCGGTAAGGCTATTATAAAATTTTCAAATATGTGAACAGTTAAAAAAAAGTCAACTGAATAAAACAAAATTAGTACAATGGTATAATATCCCAGAATTAAAATAGAAACTAAACCCTTAATACTCCTTTTTTTTTAGTTTTTAATTTAGAGAAACATTTTCTTCATAATGAAAAATACAATACATAGCCAATTACACTCTCGCACCGCCATCCATATTTGATTAGTTGGTATCACTTCTTGGGCTTGATCTGGAACATAAAAAATAATAATTTAGATAATCTATATAATAAGTTATTTTAAGTAAATAAATATATAATTACATACTTTTAATTCTACCACAGAAAGAAATCAAGAATCAACCTTTCATGTCGAGTCAGACGAATTTTACCGCACTCACCATGACGATATCCATTCGAATCACTCAATTCCCAATAACGTTTTCTCGATCTCTTGTCAATCCCACACCCGGTCAAAAGCGCAGTATGACCGGTAGGATATTGTCGATAAACTATTATGTCTCACTCAGACACTTATGTTGTAATGGATGATCATTTCTTCCACATTCGTCTGCTTCTCCATTAAAGACCTAACATGCACCCAATCAATAATCCCGCGTTCCGTCGATAGATACTTGATACCAACTCCTATAATTTAATTAGAAGTTGGAAAATTTGAATATGAGACTTCATAATTGGCTAGTCTCATCGAGGCATACCACTGTCTACGCGATACCATACACCAGCAATTACCTTTTTAAAACAAAATTAACATTTTGTTCGTTTTTACGTTTATTGGTTGGATTAAGTTTCTAATCAAATAGTATCATTTTCAAATAGCAAAGAGTTTCAAACATCCTTTAATTCCAGCGAAAAAATTACGATGCGTACGATTTTGGTGCTTTCATGTTCAGTTTTTTGGTATTTTTTTCATTTACGTTATGGTTAAAAATAGATTCATTCAAAACCATGGTGCTTTAAAAGCCAAAGATTTCAGTTAAATATGTTTTTTCATTTAAGTATCCTTAATCTAGTAATACTAAGGCTATTATTTTCAAGTAGCAAAGAGTTTTACATTCTACTAAAACTTATCTACTTTTTTTAAATCTAGTGATTAAAATAATGGAACTCAAGGTTTTGATGTTTTCATGTTGAACTTTTTTGGTGGTTTTTTCAGGTAAATCTATTTATCAGATAAATTTTAAGTTAAAATCTGTTTGTTTTTTTCAAAAGCAGATTGCTTTGCTTTAAATCTATTTAAATCTCAAAAAATTTAAATATTTTTTTTTTATCAGATGAATTTTTAGTTAAATCTTTTTAATTCTTAAGATTTTAAGTTAAATCACATATCAATTAAACCATGGTACTTAAATCTCATACTCCCTCCGTTTTAATTTAGTTGTCGTTTTAGATTTTCAATGCAGATGTTTTGTAAAAATTCTAGTTTTATCATCATAGTTTTAATGTCTTGACTAATAAATTTTTTTAGAGAATATATTAAACAAGGGTAAAATAGAAAAATTAATTGTTTTTGTGCAAAAAAACTTAAACGATAAGTAATGTAAAACAGAGGGAGTATCAGTTATTTTTTAAGTAAAAAAAGAAAGATCTTATGTCTAAAAGTTGGTGGTATACCTATTCTTTGAGCGACTGGTACGACAATAACGTCGGCACTTATTTTATTCCAAGAGTATATTTGGATCGTATACCTCTAATCTCTCACTCTGAGAAGGAAAATGTATAAAATTTGGCAAACAATTACAGAATTTATAAAAAAAAACGATTTAAATAGTTACCTGCTGCCAATCATAAATAATCTTTTGAAGTTCATTTGTCCTTTCGAATTCCTAAAAAAATGAATATGAAAAACGGAAAAATAAAATAAAAACAAGATCATTACAACATTTCAACTGAAAATATTTTCCATAACGTCATAAAACATTTAAAAAAAAAAACTAGGTGATTTGGTGCAGAGAATGAAGGCAGAATATGAACTCTTTATAAACTAAGTAGCTCAAGGTTTTGATGATCTGACCTTAGTTAATCCTTAACTTTAAGTTCTGTTAGTAACTGGAACATATATTTAAAATGTTAACCCTTGAATATATATCAACTTATGAGTAAATCTAGTTTGTTTTGTTGTTAGTAAATCATATTTAATCTTAACTATGTTAAGCAATACTATAACAAAAGTAATCCAGCACATAGCGAACACAAGGGACACATATGACGGTCTTTGTGGACGTGATCTCTAATTGAATCAATACATGCAACATCAAAAGAACAAAAATTGAGTTACATCAAGAGATACAAGAATAGAATCACTTTGAGATTAAGAAATTGAATTACAATTTCCTCAGGATCCAGTCCTAATTGAGGTATAAACAAACACAAGGTGCTAAATGCGGATGGTGCAGTCCATACTTCCGGAGATCAACATGAGAAGAATTACATCCATTTGCGTCCCTAAACATTCGATGCGCTGCTAAGGATAGAACAAATCCTGTATGTCCCAATAGACGCTGTCTAGAGACGAGTGAATCAGTGTCTGATCTCGGGCTTGATGCACAAGAATCAAGTCTGTGAAGAAAATCAAACTTTGCAATTTCTATCTCACCACTAAAGAATCCATAGACAGCAGCATATGGGACATACATTTTCTCAGAAATAACCATGGACGATGACACGCACTGTCTATTGTCACTAACAAAGCTTTGTAGACCTTTTTCGGTACTGCATTGACTTCCTGAATGAGAAATACCAGTTTCTGCACTAGCCGAGCCCTTGGGATCTAAACGAGAGCTTGAATTCCAATCGGCAAAATAGGAGCCTTCTCCAAGCAATTTGCGCTGAAGTTCTTTTTCACTACCAATTCCTAGGAATAGTGACCAGACAGTTATATGGGGCCTCTACTGAGAAGGTTGTTCAACATCACAACAGGTAGACTCAACGCGAAGAAGATTCTGCCTCAACTGTATAAACGTTGATTTCTCGGAATGCTGATCAGAGGCAGTAACAATCTCACCGAGGTACCTCTATCATCCCACAGCACAAAAGTTTCAGAAAGTCTATCATCTTAATCACCTTCGATAGTTGATGTACTAGAGTAAAGTATCATTGCTTCTTTGAAATGAAAATTTGAAGACTGATTTTCAGAACAAAGCGAATTGTCAACAAAAGATATCTCTCCTATTGCCTCCTCGTGATTCAACAACCAAAAGACACACCTATTCTTTGAGAAAAAAGCAACAAGATTCCCTCGAGTTATTACTGATACAGCTATTTCCCCTTCATTTAACCAGTTTCTAGACACGACGGAGTCTTTGCTAGATTCAGATACATCTTCACCCTTCTCAGAATTCTCTGACACTGGAACCAACTGGAGCCTACCAGATGAATCCGCCATGAGCAATGATTCCTGCTCCTCCAGTTGCACCACACCCATAAAATTCAAATGGCCAATAGATAAATTCCCATGGAATTCTCAACACATACGTATCTAGGTTCTGACGGCAAAGTACACAAAATCAACGGACTTCCAACCCAAGGAGGTAACTTTCTTCACCTCCTACAATTCCCGCTACTTGTACTCCATACACACAGCACACCATCAGTACAAACACTAATCCACACAGAACAATTAACAAATGGATCCATATTACTAGTATCTGAACAATCTGCTGTAACTCCATTCCCTGAAACCGTAGTAGGATCACAAACAGCAAGATCCACCATTGGTGCAGTATGTCCACACAACATAGCAATCGGCTTAACCTCCTGATGGATCAAAAACAAAAGAAATTACTAACAATCATGGGAACAAAACGACATTTTCCTAAAAACTTCAAGTAAAGCTTTGATGAATCTGAATTATTCTCATTATATCAGCAGTGGTTCCAGAAGGTACTATACTACATCGTAAGCACAAAAATAACTATGATTGAGAGAGACGAGTTACCGAATTGGACTCGGAAGAAGACGAGATGTTCCACCAGATGATTGACCCGTCGGATCCACCGGTATAGAGAGTCGGTGGATTGGTTATAGAGGCTGTGGCAGTGACTCGATGAGATGGAGGAGCTCCAGACCATAGGCACGCCACGGATCGGCACTTCATCGGCCAAAATCAAGCGATACAAGCACCGACCGAGTCAGTGTGAGGACGAAGTTGTAAACGACGTCGTATTAGTGATCACGGCAATGGTTATTAGTTTTTGTTTTTATTTTTTATTTCTATTGAATTTGGTTTTAATTAGTAACAATTTGTATGTAATGTATTTGTGCTTTAAAATATAGTTAAGAAAGTAGATAGTTTTAATTGGGAAATAAATACTGTACAGTAATTAATTTCATACGAGATCTGTATTAGTTTTATTTATTTATTGATACAGACAGTCATTTGAAATTTGATTTAATTAGTTACAATTTGTATGTAATATTTGTATTTTAAAATATAGTGTTAGAATATATTAAACTAGATCATCACCCGTACTAAAGTACGGGTTAAATTTTATTTATTATAAAATTTATATAATATATATATTAGAACTAAGTTTTAATATATTATAATAGTAAGTGAAAAAATATTATTTTTTTTGTCAGTCCCTATATACAATATTAGAATAAATATAGAATTTTTTCTATAATACTCAATTATGGATAAATTTTTTTTAAGATATAAAAACGGAAAATAATTTCATTTTTTAAAAAGTAATATTTTTTGAACAATGAGTTAATTTATGTTAACAACCACAAAATAAGATTGCATATATTTCAGGTAGATCAAAAATTAAAATATCATAAATAAATCGCATATAAAACATAGATTATTTTGAATTAATTAAGAAAATTAGGTATTATTTTGAATTAATTTAGAAAATTCTTTTTCAATTCATAATTCTTTGGTTGTTGAAATAGAGATTTGTTTGAGCTAATCTAATTACAGAATTTGTTTGAGATTTATAATTACGGAATTTACCAATTATTCGCATAATCGAATATGTTATAAACATATATTTAGTATATAATAATACCAAAATCAACACGTGCGTGGAGTCTATATTTTTATTTTAGAATCTCAATATTTCATTTTAAAATATTGCGTGCACAATCTATTATTCGTTAATTCTAAAATTGCTTGCGGAATCAAATTTTCAAATATTTAGAGGTGTCAAACCATATTTAAATGTTCTACACTATTTTTAAATATTCCAAATTAAAATCTTTAAAATTTTTTGTGGTTTATAAAATTATGAATTTCAAAAAACAAATTATATGAAATTAAATATAACTATTCAAATAGTTATAAGGATCAAAACTCATTTCATCATATTATATATTATATTTAACCCGCTACCTATTAGAAATATTTTTTAAAATAATCAAATTAGAGTATTTATAATTTTTAACTTTTTGAACTATTAAGTATTGATGATATTCTCTAAAAATATCAAGTAAAACTTATTTTAAATGTTGCAAATTAAAATATTTAAATTTTTATTGTAGTATATAAAATTATACATTTCAAAAAAATAAATGTATGAAATCGAATATAAATATTCAAATCTTGACCCGTTGCTCAGTCGGAATTTTTGTTAACTTTATTTTGGTGTAAAAAATATATATTACTCAAGTCTGAATTTTTGACCCGTTTAATTGTTTCCTTTATAGATTGAACAATTTATATGCGTTTTTAAAAATTCAAATCTTGGCATATGCAGAAAAAAATTTACTTTTTTTTTTATTATGTAGATGATATGATGATTTATTTGTTTATATTAATATAATCATATAAAGATGAGAGGTGAAGTTTAATGATTAATAACAAATTAATATGATAAGTTAGATATCAAATCTTATTTGTTCATTTTGATTGGTCATTTAAAAAAAAAAAAACAGATTTTCGTTTTATAATTTAATTAAATTAATTAAATGACATAAATTAGTATTTTACTTGTTTATCCTTAATAAATTGAATGAAATTTGTTCTAAAAGAAGATTTTTGTAATGGCATTCTTAAGTAAATTCTTACAAAAAGAAAGGTTAGTTTAGGGTATCTTATAAAGTGTACTCCCCAAATAATAGTATAGGATTGGTAATCCACAAAGGGCAATTTTAACGAAATCGTGTTGGATAATGTGTACAATCTTCTGTAGGATTTTTACAATTAAAAAAAATAGAGAAGTTGTTATTTTGCATTATTAGAGAAAACTTATAAATCTTATCAAAAATATAAAAAATCTTGGCAATATAAATGAAATGAAAAGAAACCTAAATGTAGAAGCCATTAATGATAGAGAGAACCTTGGCATGCAAATAAATCCAAACAAAAGAAGCCACCAATGGACATGAGTACTGTATGGTACATATATCACCAAACGCTCGTCCAAAACAACCAATATAAAGTCCAACGAACAAGGTCCATTGTACGTGTCTTAATTGCATGGGAGAATTCAGCTGGAACATGGAAACTCCGAAAACGAACATGGAGTAGGTGTAGACCAAGACATCCCAAGTTGGGTAATTGAAGGTGATGTAGTAAATGGCCGTCACAAGAATGACGGAAACAAGCACTCGTGTACCGGGTAAAGGAGGTTCATGTTCTTTGTAGATGCGAATAGTGGTCGGGAAGTGTAACATAAGTAACATCACCACGTACAAAGTTGTGCCACCGATGCTCGCGTACTGCAACGAACATGTTGAAGGACATAGCCTGTAGAGTGATATGGAGATGCTCAATAACGACAATGTCGCTATTACCTTCCACCATAACCCTCTCATCTCTATCTCTATATTTTTTTCTTTTACTTCGAATTATACATACATAATCGATTTTTATTTTTTAAATTAGTATTTGAGGATTTAGTACTATCTTATTAGTTATCAGTATCTTTGTTTGTTGACATATATATGTGTTAATCCATTTTATTTTTTTTTGACACGTTAATCCATTATTGTTATTATTATTTATTTTTTTCTTTTATTATTATTGTGGTTGAACCTTGATTTCAGGTGGTGTGTACCTATGCTAAAAACCTCTATGATAAATTGGTATGTGTCTATGCTACAATTGTTTTCGAAATTCTTTTTTTTTTTCTGTGTTTGCTAATTATATATATTTTTCGTTAGGCGTAATTGGTGAGATAACGACAATGAACAATATAAAAGAACTCAACATTTCTAGACATCCATGTCAGATCTTGAAACTACAACCCAGTGATCATTTGATGTTAGGTCCATTTAACGGATGCTAAGATCAATTTAAATAAGAAAGATTGCAGTACTTGATTCTGCTTATGGTTTTATGTGTAATTTGGTCTTGCAGTCTCTTTTTGTCCTCGACTCAAAGTCTGCCTCCAGTCTTGGTTGAACTTATGTTAACAGGTGACAGAAGAAGTATTGATTTCGAAGACGATATTAGAACTTATAACTCCATGTTTGCTTTCAGTTCTATGGGAGGTAAGACTGATAATGCTTAACAAACGACATACACCAAATGTCTTCTCTATTATCTGCCTATACAATATACTTAAACTTTGTATTATTATTTATTTTTCTATATAGGTATCTCCAGCTCAAAGATGTTCCATCTATCTTGATGATTTTTACCAAAGCTGAAAATCTATGGTTTTATTGCCAAACTTTTGTGGATTGTAAATATAATATCATGTATTTTGTATTTATTTAGTATACAGCTTCATGCTTAGTAGTTAGTATGCTTAAACTACTTGTGCTTTAATTATTAACTAGATCATGACCCGCACATACGTGCGGGGTTTCATATTTTTTAAAAAGTTTTAACAAATTTTAATTCAATATAGATTATTTCGTTGTTTCTATGATATATATTTTAGTGTATTAGATCTAAATTCACACGTACGTGCATATATATTTTTATATAAATTGTTATATAGATTTTAAAAATATAAAATATTTTGTTGTGTTAGTGAAATTTATAATAGTATAAATATTATAAAATTAGAGTAAATGAACGAAATTCAGTTGCGTTAGTGCATAGTTATATTTTAAGATCCGGACCTACACGTACGTGCGAAATTATATTTAAGATAAAACTAAGATATAATTTAGTTGCAAAAGTTAAATAATGTTACTTTTTTATTTTCTAAACTAATCAAAACATTTCTAATAGTTTGATTACATGTGTTAAATAGGATATAGATTCGGTTTGAGTTTGGTTATTTCATGTATATTAGCTAGGCATAACTATTTAGAACGGGAAACATATCCCGTACTGTATCTGTCATAAATTCTTGGTCCCATAACCCGTCTCGTATACGTGAAATAAAAATATGACGGTCCAGTATTCGGCATAAATAGAATATGTGTAACTGAAAACGTACGTACAGGGTTATGTATGTAAACAAATTTATTTTATATAGTGCTCATAACCTGAACTCATACCAATTGGGTATTTAGTTTGATTTTTAATTTATGTTCCCCTCTCATCCCGTCTCGTAATTTCTATTCTCATTTCATTCCATTAAAATTATGTTCCAAATTCTTGTTTGCTTACTTTTAAATACCATACAATACATACTGTGAGTTTTGCAGATTAATATATTTGCTGCTAAAGTTACAAATATTTTAACAAATTTATTAATGTTTCTTTACTTAGCTAAATTTTGCATATTCTTCTTTTTATTGTTTAATCATAATTAATTTGATTTTTGGACTAAAAATAAAATTTTTAGATACATCTCTAAAAGGGATATGCTATTGCTGCATAATTTGTTTTGAATTCAAAATATATAATTAGTTTACATTTTTTGAAAACTGTGTGCAATATATTAGATATTTATCAAACTTGCTCTAAACGAAGGCTATAATGATAATTACTTTAAATTTATTATTATTTGAGTTTATTTCATCATAAATATAAATAGTTGTTAATATCTAATATCGTATTTTAAAAATTATGAAATAAAATTTTGTTTTATATTTTAAAATTTGTGAAAATATTATAACAAAACTGAATCTTAAAATATTTGTATTTAATTTTCTTACGAAATTTTAAATTTAATCTTAAAGTCCTCCATTGATAAATCTTTTAAACGACAGTGTTTTTAATTTTAAATTAAAATGATATTATTTTTATTTTTATTTTTGATATAGAATATTCTACTA